CCCTTCAAGGGTTTCGGTTCATTACCCAGGGCTCGGGGCCACCCCGGGCCCCGGGGCCGGTTTTCCAGGTTGTTAATTGAGGGTTCCGTTTTTTCGTTAGCCTTCGGATGGTACCCCGATTTGAGGCTTGCTTTGGCTCCGATGAGCTTACAGAACTCCTACCAGACCGCGAGCAAACTAGGGCCCCCTTCGGACACAATGTCTCTGGGGAACCCGTGGATCCTAAACACGTTGTTCATCATGCAGATAGCGGTCTCTTTAGCGGTGGGCAGCTTGGGTAGGGCTAGGAAGTGTGCCATCTTTGAAAATCTATCCACCACGGTCAACACCGTGGTGTTCCCCTTGGAGGTCGGTAGCCCCGTGACAAAATCCATCGAGATCTCTGCCCACGGCCGGGACGGGATGGGCAGCGGCTGTAGCAAGCCTGCGCGGGCTCTGGAGGAGTTCTTGTTCCTGGCGCAGACGGAGCATGCCTCAACGTACTCCCTGACCTCCGGCTCCATGGACGGCCACCAGAACCTCTGCGTGATGGCGAACATGGTCCGACGTACGCCCGGATGGCAGGTGAGCAAAGACGAGTGAGCCCAGTGGATCACCTGTGGGCGCAGATTAATAGGGACAAACAGACGATTATCTGGGCACCCACGAGGTGGGGGGGTCTCACCGTTGGCCTGCTTCACCTTGGTCTCTATAGGCCAGGTAACCGCTCCAACCACACAGTGTAGTGGGAGGATGGGCTCAGGTTCCCTGGCCACGGGCTCCGGGCTGAAAAGACGGGATAAGGCGTCAGGCTTGGTATTTCTTGATCCCGGTCTGTAGGAAAGGGAAAAATCAAAACGGTTAAAAAACAAGGACCAGCGGGCTTGACGGGAATTCAAACGCTTGGCCTTCTTGATGTACTGCAGGTTCTTGTGGTCTGTCCAAACCAAAAAAGGGTGCTGTGCCCCCTCGAGCCAGTGCCGCCACTCCTCCAGCGCCGCCTTCACTGCCAGCAGCTCACGATCTCCCACGTCGTAGTTCCGCTCCGCTGCAGTCAGTCGTCGCGACAGGAAGGCACAAGGATGAAGCTTGTTGTCAGACTCTGCTCGCTGGGAGAGAATGGCCCCGATCCCATTATTGGAGGCGTCCACCTCCACCACAAACTGGCGAGCCGGATCAGGGAGCGTGAGGATGGGTGCTGTAGTGAAGCGCCGCTTAAGCTCCTGGAAGGCTGCGTCTGCCTCGGCGGACCAGTGAAACGCCACCTGCGGGGAGGTAAGAGCATGGAGCGGGGCTGCTGTCGCGCTGAAGCCTCTGATAAACCGCCTGTAAAAGTTAGCAAAACCGAGAAATTGCTGTACCTTCTTGCGGCTATCAGGAGTTGGCCACTCTACTACCGCGCTTACTTTAGCCGGATCCATCTGAACCCTCCCAGGGGCTACGATAAAGCCCAGGAAGGCGACAGTATCGGCATGAAATTCACTCTTTTCCGCCTTCACATATAACCCGTTGTCTAAGAGACGTTGCAGGACGAGTTCAACATGGTTCCTATGGGTGTTTAGGTCGGGGGAATAAATCAGAATGTCATCTAAATACACATACACAAACTGGTCTAAAAAGTCTCTTAACACATCGTTTATCATCGCTTGAAAAACTGCTGGGGCGTTTGTGAGACCAAAGGGGCATGACCAGGTATTTCATAATGCTCAGGAGGTGTGGGGGGGTTGTTCGGGAGAAGCCGCGGGGTTCCTGGAGAGCAAGGTGAGAATCTGTTCTACCTGACTGTCTAGGAGTCCCACCTGCGTGGTCATGGCAGTCTTAAACCCCTCCTGGCTTTGAGCAAGTCCCCGAACCCCTCGATCGAGGTCAGCAACAAGGTCTTCATGCTGCGCCAGTCTTGATGCTTGAGCGCGCAGCGCCTCCGTCAGCTGGTCCTTCTCTGCCGAGTCCATTCTAGCCAGTGTGTACTGTCAGGCAGGAAGGAGGACGACTCGGACGCAGAGGGTTCAGCTGATATTGCTTTTTATTAATAACAAGAAAAAACTGAAAATCTCTCTTAACGAGGAAACAAAGGTCGCGATCAAAGTTCAAAAGGAAAAAACTCAAAATCTCTCTAAATGAGGAAAAAAGGTTGAGATCAAAATTCAAAAGGCAAAAACTCAAAATCTCTCTTAAACGAGGAAATGTAACAGGGATCAAAAGGACGTGACAAACGTTATCGGACTTGACTTGACTCGTGACGTGAGGGCTGGTGTGCAGGGCAAAACAACAAGACACACTGGCACAGGACAAGGGGCGACGCAGACTATAAGTACCCATGAGGGAGTTGTGGGAACAGGTGGACACAATCAGGAATCAGGGGAGACAATCAGACTGGTGACACATGAGGAAGGGCAAGGGACCTGAAACGAGAGGGAGTTAGTTTCCAAAATAAAACAGGAAGTCAAAAAACAACTGGAGACAGGACAAAAACGCAACTTGACATACAGGTGTGACAGATGGTATCTGCAAAGACAGCAAACTGAAATCAACATTATGATCTACAACCCCATACAAGCTGACAACCTGAAAATACCCTATTTCAGCTTTAAAAATCACAAACACAACTACATTTTCGGTCAAGTACATCAACTTATTACTTACCACCAGAGCACCACAGTACATTAAAGAACAATCTGAAAGAAAAAAGGAAAATATACATATTAAGTAACTACGTAGACCCCTCCGCCGTAGCCTGACGTGCACCTCCGAAAAAATCTAACTGCGAGTCGAGTTGACGTGGACCGCAAGTGCTGTGATTGGTCCGCTCAGAACGTAATTTGCGGCAGTTGCTGACATTTGAAAGTATCGAAAGTGCACTTGCTCGTCCAGGTCCCTCAGTGGGTGAACCAGTGTTGTAAATTCACGTCTTCTCCGTAGCCTGCGCTTCAATATGAGATTCGGCTCACCAAGGATTCGGCACCCGCAGAAACACACAGCCACACCCGCCTAGCGGCATGGGGGGAACTGCAGAGCAACGGAGAACTTGCTCAATGACGGGGTTACGCCGCCGCCGTAACGTGGAAGCATAAATTAAGCTCGACATACAGCCATAGACATAAAGAATAGACATCGACCGCTGCTGCCTAGTGGTGCTGACGAGCCGCGGGGCCGCCAGCTTGGACCGGTCACCCGCTCCACTCAGTGCCAGCTGGCGCAACGAAGTGTCAGCGCGTCACTCGCTGAATACAAAAGCGGATGTTCACGGGATTTTGTAGGCATGACACCGAAAACATGATTCGGCGTATTTTAATATTCATAGTAGGCGTAACAGTAATAATATTATGGTATATAATATAATAAAAAAATATTTGTTTGCGCCTCAGCAGCCAATGCAGCGTCTACTCTTTATATGTCTATGGCTACAGCAGCAGCTAACGTGAACCGAGGCTCTCGGAGCCGCGGCTCCGTTCACGTTAACTGGGTCGACTCGGTGCATTCCGCCGTCTGCTGGTGAACTAGCGGGTCCTATGAGCACGTCCGCATGTCCGCGACATGTCCCGCTATGCTCGACCAAATTGTGACGTGACGCTAAAGCGATTTGCTCCGGCTCAAATAGAAATAATAAATATGACTGCTTCAACAATTTTTTGTCGTCATTTTACTGAAATAAATGTGCAAGCATGACACATAACACACCAGGACAGCTCGTCCTCGCTGACATTAACGTTACCTCGTGTCGTTTTTGTTCAGTTTGGTGTTGCGTGGTCAGACATGTGGCTGCTACATTTAAGCTAACCGCCGACCCGATAATCACATTAGCCATTTGAAATTCGGTATTTGAAGACACGTACCCAACATTGACTAGTGTGGTGAATGAATACGTCCCTTTATTCTTATACAGATTCTACTGGAATGAAGAAAAACAACGGGAATAGTTTATAGTAGAAAGACTTACCACAGTATTTCGATGCGAGGAAGATGGCGATGCCAGAATCCACATTCTCAGTTTGACCGGGAAAGTTGGTGGGCGGGGCTCTCCAGAGTATTTTTTGTGATACTCTGGAAGGTATCTTGCTCTAATCAGTGTTGAATCAGGGCCTGAGAGAGTCAATAACACTGACAGAGTAAAACCTCTGTTAACTCCGATTATTTTCACCAACACTGGAAGTTTTCTGGTTCAATTTTACTCTGTCCATTGTTGGAAGAACTCCGGAAGAATTAAAATAGTTTGACACTGCCTTTTTGACACTGGCAAATTTACTGTGTACCTGGCTGCATATAATCTTAATGCAAAATACCTAAACTTGTATTCAGGCTCATTTTTGATCTAAATTGAAATTGAAATGCTCATTACACCGTCATGTCACCACATGAATCATCACATGGTCCGCGGACCCCTCCCGGAGCCCTGTGGGACCCTCTGACATTCTCGCGGGCCGCCCTGGGACACTCTGGGACTCTCTCGCAACCTCTCAGGCGGGTCGGGGATCGCGTTTAAAAACGGCTAAGTGCTTTCTTGGTGCTTTCGTGGCACGGAGACACCCTTAGAGGGGGGGCGATGACTCAGAAAGCCGTTTGAGGGGGGGGGGGGGGGGTACCGCATGGGGGGCTCCCGTGGTTCCGTGCGAAAAGAGAAAGAAAATCCAAGGCATTTGGAGTTGCTGGTTTTGAAACCAAACCGGTTTTGGTGCAAACTTGACTTGATTAAATAGGCAGACTTTGGCTTTGGAAGGTTGTATAAGTAGGGCCTAAAAATTTTTTGCATGCAATTAACTTTTTGGATGTGCAACTGCGCGAGTCATTCTTATACGCCGCTCGGATTTAACAAATCCCTGAACACATCTTGAACTATTTTATGTATTACACGGGTTATGCTTGTTGATTATTGATGTACAATCAATGAGGAGAAAAGCTTATGATCAGACAAAACTATTTAATTAGAACAACACCATGCTTTATTTTAAAAATGGGGCTTATGTCTGCTGATCAAATTATACTTTGTATATTGTATATAAATTAAATTAGTGTTAAAAGTGTGAAAAAGTGTTCGAGTTGATGAACACAACTTTAACCGGAGAAAATGAAGAATTGAGACCCAAAAAATGTTCTAGAGCTTTACGAAGATGATGAAGTCATTATACTTCACAACTAACTATATTAAAAATGGTTAATTTATGGGTGAAATGGTTAATGCTAACTTGGTGGTTGTGACACACACATCTGCAGCAGTTCTTGTTTACTTTTATGGGCCATAAGTGTTTTAATTATGAGACGGTTCGCCGCTAGGTGGCGCTGCTCAAATGGGAAACTGAAAAGTTACCGAAGGGCCAAACAGTTAATACTTCAAAGTCCTCATAACCTTACGTTCAGATTTTTATTAGAAGTGTAATTTTAAGAACTATATAAATGATACCGTGCTCCTCTTTTGAAAACGAAAAAAGGGCAGAAGTTTGGATTGTAAATTAAATTAAATTAAATTATTTGATCAAACTCAGCAATGGGGCAATATTTTTGCACAATATTCCTGATTTTTAAAAATGGTATTTGCTAAAATTAAAAGTATATGTCTCCTGTATTGCACACAAAAATAAGAGGATAATGCTTTAAAATGACTTTCAGCCAACCGTCAATAACATTTGAACTGCGGCGAGAATAGAATGATGAACATAATCTATACTCACATGTACACCACACTTACTGATATCGATTTACAATCTGACTGTAAAGGGACTAAATAAAAGTATGAAAATAAGCCTCATGCGTGTTTTTTAAGGCCCATTTAAATATTCAATGCAGACAATTAGATTTAAATCTGCCATCATGGGCCAACACACATTGTGTACCAATTCAATATATATTCTTGTCAATTTTCTTTTAATTTTGTTTAAATATATCGGAGACCGAAAACATGAGTTCCAAACTATGAAATAGGATGTTGAACTTAAAATGTCCACACACACACACACACACACACACACACGGAGGGACAGCACCGTGCAGAGGCCTTATATCTGGGCTTGCGTGCTCTGCGTGACCCGTGACTGATTCGAGTTAACAGCTGACTCTTTTCCATTAGAAACGGCCCGCAGGATAATCTCGATAACTACCGGGTCACGCAAACGGGGATACGGTGCACCGACGCTTTCTGGTACTATGCGAGGAGGCGTTTCCTTCAAATCCGAAGTACTTATATGGTTTACGTACATTGGGAAAATACAAACGTGCACGCTCCCTTCATGTCGGAGTAACTTATAAATGTAAAACGGTTGGCAAGATACCTCCTTCTATCCGACGATTGGCCGCAGCAGTAATTAGTCCTCCCTAAAGATATTTGTCATCTTCCAGCATCTCTGCGCCCTGGAGGAATACAAACATCCGGGTAGTGCGGACTGGAGGCCATTAAAAATGACGTGTGGCACACTAACATTTTTTTTCTTCATTTTTTTTACACTAATAAAAACATTAGTTAATTTTCAGAGACCTTTTCGTGTTATTTAATTTCTCTCTCTCTCTCTCTCTTTTCAGTTGCTCCTGTGACGTCTCCCCCCATGTGACCGGGGCGCTGGTATAAATACCGGGACAAGGCCCGCCCCCCTGTGTGATTCCGGTTTTTGGCCCGGTTGCAGGTTTCCCGGCACCCTTTCCCCCCCCCGCCCGCCCGCTGTCGACGGGCACCGCTCGCGAGGCTGCGAAAAAAAAAAAAGACCCGGAACGACAACAAAACCCAGGAAACATATGGAAATAGCGAGAAAGCAGAGGGATCGCTCTCAACGACACGCGCTCCTCTCCCCCTCCTCCTTCCCGTCCCCCCCCCTCTCCTCCTCCTCCTCCACCTCCTCCTCTTAAGAGTTGTTGAAGAGGGAGGGCAGGGCAGCTCGCTCATCTCGTCGTCTTCCTCATCTGGGCGTCCGAAGGCACAGCCGCGCGCGCCAGTCATGACTCTGAGCTCAGAAAATGTCGGATGCCTCCATCCTTTCGGAAGAGACCGACATCGACGTGGTGGGCGAGGGGGAGGACGGAGACGGGCGGACGCGCGCCTACGTGGACGAGGTGGCGCAGATGCGCGACGGCATCCTGCTGTCCGGCTCGCCCCCTCCGTGCCTGGACGGCTCCGCGTCCCCCGGGGACGGCTACAAGCCGGCGGGCAAGAGCGCCCTGGTGAAGCCCCCGTACTCCTACATCGCCTTGATCACCATGGCCATCCTGCAGAGCCCCAAGAAGAGGCTGACGCTCAGCGAGATCTGCGACTTCATCAGCAGCCGCTTCCCGTACTACCGGGAGAAGTTCCCGGCCTGGCAGAACTCCATCCGGCACAACTTGTCCCTCAACGACTGCTTCGTGAAGATACCGAGGGAGCCCGGGAACCCGGGGAAGGGCAACTACTGGACCTTGGACCCGGAGTCGGCCGACATGTTTGACAACGGGAGCTTCCTGCGGCGGAGGAAGCGCTTCAAGCGGCAGCAGGCGCAGGACTTGCTGCGGGAACACAGCAGCTTTCTTCCCGCCGCCGCCGCGTACGGGTACGGGCCGTACGGCTGCGGGGGGTACGGCATCCAGCTGCAGTCCTACCACACGCACTCTGCACTTTTTGCATTCCAGCAGCAGCAGCAGCAGCAGCAGCAGCACTCCAGGCACTCGCACGCCGGGACCGTTATCCCCGCGCCCTCTTTGATGCCCACCAGCACGGACTTAACCAGGAGTCGGTTTTATCCCCAGCTCAGCTCCAGCCTGGGCTCAGCCAGCGCGCAGGCCGCGGCCCCGCTGCAGAAGTCCGGCTCCCCGGCGCAGCGGTCACCCTTCTCCATAGAGAGCATCATCGGGGGGTCGCCGAGCCCCTCCAGAACTTCTCCGGCCGTTGTCCCGGTCTTAGCGGCCTCTTTGGGGCCCGCAGGGACCAGCCGGTCGCAGACAGTCCACCCCGGAGCCGTTTTACACCCGGTAGAGAACTTCCCGGGCGACTGTTAAAATGTCTTAACAAGAAAACTTTTTTTCAAGAAACTTTTAAAAAGAGAGAGAGAGAGAGAGAGACAGCAACAAAACAAAAAACGCCCCTCTCTGAAGGTAGGATTATTTTTGTATGTTTGTTTAATAGCACGCAGCTGAGTGACGGACATATAAATAACACTATTTGTGCCTAGTATATTCATGCTGTTTAAAAAAAAATCTATTTATGTTCATTTTTTTGGTGTGAATCAGACTTGATCCACGGACTTTCCTTGTATTTTTACCTTGAAGTAATTCGTTTCAGTCACTGTTTAGGGCGTCTCAGGATAACGACTAATGGGCAGGTTATAAATGATCACATGTTTTGATAAATAGGCTAATAATGTATTTGTGTCAAACACATTCATGTTTTTTTTTCCTCTTGATAGAGTGGCGAATCAAAACACTTCTTTCATGGTTTTGATTTTAACTTTGTATTAAAAAACACAAAGCAAAGTCATACATTTATAACAATATGCAGTGTGTGTTTCTTTCAGTAATAAAATATTGTACATTTTTGGCAAGTATTGTGTAATTGAAGTGTGATATTTTTACACGGTTTGTTTTTCAACAAGAATAAATTTCTTTTTGCAAAAAAAAGTAATTTGTTTGGAGATAAATTTCACTATATGGCGTTTGGCTTGCTGGGCCTGCGTGCTACACACACACACACACACACACACACACACACACACACACACACACACACACACACACACACACACACTATAGCTCAGGGTTTATACTTAACAGGAAAGTGGGCTGAATTGTTATGTGTTGTTTGAGATGATGCTAAATGATCAGCTTTACAGCACGTGAGCACTTGATTGGTCTTTGTGCAAACGTCACAACAGCGTGTGTGTGTGTGTGTGTGTGTGTGTGTGTGTGAGAGTGTGTGTGTGTGTGTGTGTGTGTGTGTGTGTGAGAGCCACAGGGAAAAAAAAAGACACGACGAATATATTCATCTCCCTTCCAGCTCAAACAGTGAGTGGAGATGTTTGCCAACCTCCATCGCGCGGCGGGGAACGTGCGCACGCGGGGCCTGGTGTCGTCTGACCTCGCTCCCAACTCGTCCTCGTAATTACGGTGAGCGGACAAGAAGGTGTCCGCGGCGCAGACGCGCCCCGCGCTGGTGTCGACAGCTGTTCACCTCTTTAGAAAAACACTCCTCGTTTAAATATTCCATTATCTGCTCTTATTGGACGCAATGTTTTGGGCGCTCACTCACTTTTATGTGACCCCCCCCCCCCCTCCCTCCCCTCTTACCCTCCCCTCCTCGCACACGCCGAAGAGCACCATTTGCATTGTGACACTAAAAAAGTCAAATTGCGTGTTATTTTTACGCAGGAGCACGGATGCGTTGGCAGAAAAGCGGGCCCGCGCGTCGTGATGCGTAAAGAGGGCGGATTATCTTTACGTTATTAATCCCCCCCCCCCGCCCAAAAAAACAAATCTAAATCACAAGCAGGTGCTACAGAGCTGCGACCCCCTTTCTGTTTTATTTATTTAAATATTTCATGAGCTGCACAGCCATATGTGCGCCACAGAGACCTATCGGTGCACAGGCGCGCTGCTTCCGTGACTGGATGTGTGCGCCGGCCGACTGCGTGCGGCTGCATCCCCCTCATCCAGCGCAACGTGTGTGTAGTGGACGGCTAAACTGGTGCAGCGCTTAGAGCCGGTTCAGTAGGCCACGGGAGGACAGCGATTGCGTGATGATGTAACACGCAACGAGAGGCAAGCAGGCAGACACACACACACGCATGCAAACACGCGCGCACACACACACCAGAGAGAAGTGATGGAGGTCAGTGTGGACTTGTTTACAAATAGAGGAGGTTCAAGCAGGAATAATTCATGCAATAAGGTAAATACTCACTTGCGTGCCCTGCCGGGTTTTCTCACAGATTGCGGCTTTAAACACAAGCGTGTACGACATGGATCTAATGTGTGCCAATGGTCATGTGATTTATAGGATTTTTATGGAATATTTCAGTAAATCATATCCGGGTATTTAATCTAAATCACTCTTGTGTTTTCCCTCTTGGAGGTGTTGTTTACAGCGGATTCAAACGCCTAAATACCCTGGATTATTGGCTATTCATTTCTATTCGTTGTGGGCGATTCTGTCGATATGGTCCCGTGGATGAATCCACGCAATTCATTATTAACCGCCGTGGAACACTGCTTTCATGGCGAGCATCCAAAAGGCTTGTGGAAAAGAGGTTTCAGCGAGAATGAATGAAGTGAAAACCTCTCAGGACCTCCAGCCGCTGTGATGAGCGACACGTAGTAGATTTGATTTCATGGAACTCACGCGCAGCTAAAATCAATGTCTCAAGATACTTAAATTATTACTGACACACGTGTACGACAGGAATGGTAATATCAATATGCATCAATCAGTATGTATGTATTTATCTATCGTGTAATAGTTTGGTGGATGTAAAAAAAAGTAAGAAAAAAACTACCCTGAAAGGAAAACGACTTATACTCATTATAATTATTATTTTATTGTCATGAGATCATGCAAAAATAATCTTATTTTGTAATTATTATGTTATATTTTATTTAGATAATAAGTTATTATTATTTACTATTATTTATTACTATTCTGATTGATAATGTAATTTTATTTTTGTTATTCCTATTCTTAGTAGCATGTAGCAATATTTCAGATTCGAAATAGATTTAATAATAATGTAATTTAATAAATAAATAGGCAGGCTGATCAAACAGTGCGGTAAAGTAAGCCTACTAAAGTGGCTGTTGATCAGAGCCAATGAGGGGAGACTGTTTGGTAGAAAAGAAAAGTGCAGAAATGTGCAGATTCTAACTCAAGCATCAAATGAGCTTTAGAGACGATGAAAGTTTGGTCCTGGCTGTTCTGCGATGTGTCACTGTATTTTCTCCAAGAACACTTCAGAGAAAGACATAAATAGCCAAACAGCCATGAACAAGAACACCAAAGTTGACTAAGGATCAGTAGAAACAAGCACTGTTTTGTGCACCAGACAAAACGTCTGTAATTACCCAGTGACTCGTGATCTGGTTGGTTAGGTAGTTTTGTCGTTGCTCAGTTCCAACAACAGCGGAATATTTAGGTAGGTAGTGCTGCAGTTTACAAAAAAAAAAGAGGCCTTTTCATGAAATGTCATAGATCATGTGGGCATCAGCCTCCTTGAGCATGACTGAAGCTCAGTTCGCAGTTTATCCTGCTGGGTCACAGGTCATGAGGAGAGGGGATAAAGCAGCACACTCAGCCCATAAAAGACGTCGGGCTTTGGGTAAATGTGTTGCAGCATTTAAGGCTGTGAGAATAAATATGTCAAAAAAAGAGACTTTGGCTGCTTTATAACGCATGCAGAGGACAGCAAACGGGTCATTTTGGGCCACGTTTGGACACCTTAAACAAGTCACACCGACCTCTACTTGACGAAGCAGCATGACACAAAAAAACAGCATTAACTGGGAATTATTTTTGATAGTTATGTCAGACTTATAATAAGAACGAGAAGCAAAGTAGGTTTTATAACTGACCTGCTTTAAAATGTCCTCCTTGCAGTGGAATAAAACATAATAAACATTTGAAAACGAAACACAAAGACGTCTTCCTGTCCTTTCGGTTATATTGTATCGTTGTTTTTTATTAAATATCATCAACACAGCATGAGCACTTAATAGTAAGAATAACGTAATATTTATTCCAATGTGAAATATTTTCAAGGTTAATAAAAAACGTACAAACAGCACTTATTCACACTTTGTCATTATCCCAAAAGAATCGGCCCAATCATTCAATTCAGTCTCACTAATAACAGCTTACGAAACAGTTTAATAGTAAACATGTTTGGTTTCTGGCCTCATGCCTCTAATTACATGTGGAATTTTCTAGCATGCTGCATAACCCAAAGTCCTGATCCAAGATATTCATGTGCTTTTCTACTGACCTCTATAAAAAACATCAGCATTACTGCAACGACTATTGTTATTTACAGCACAAACAACAAGTATTACTAACAATGGGATTTAAGCTCGTAGAAGTTAACGAGAGATCTCGAAGCAAAGAGTTTAAGTAAATATGAATTAAAGTCACTTTTAAATTGAACAATAAGGTCAGAAATGGATTTATATCTATCAGGGAAAAGAAAACAAACACAATTCGATAATAATAATACACATTTCAACAGGTTTCTGCCCATCTTTATCTGTTAAGTCCACTTTCTGTGGAAAGACGCCGTTTCCACAGATGACCCAAGTGAACGTGATCAGACCTTAGAACATCTGTTGAAGTGAAACGTTCGTAAAACAGAGGAGAAATAATAATAAAAAAGAGAGCAATTGGAAAAGGAGTGAGTGCACGCAATAGAACTGAGAGAGAGGGGGGGGGAGAAAGAAATGAATAAAAAAGAGAAAGAAAAGAAAGAGTGAATACCTCCCAGGGAGGTGCAGGATCTCTCCATCTGCTATTCAGCGTGTGGAACAGTCGCTACACTTATCCCTCCCTCTAAAAGGAGCGGCGCTTTCCACCCCATTAAAAGTTTGGGAACTAATGCCACCCCTGAATGCTACCCTAATTAGAGGACCTGCTGCAGGAGAGGGGCTTCGGGACGGATTCCGCGTCCCCCCCCCCCCCCCCCCCAACCCCTTTTGTGAAGCCATCGCTTTGCTCTCTCTTTTCCTGACCCATTCTTTCTCTCCTCAGAGCTCAGAGCCGAGCTTTCATCCTGTTTGGGTACCGATGATCCACGCACATCCACCAGGGATGCTGGGGGGGGCTTTTACACTGGCAGAGATGCACGAAGTGCTGTTTGACTGAGGAATCAAAGACGGTGGCTCCAGACAGGGGGGGGGGGGGGGGGGGTTGCCCAGGCTCACGCGTCCTCGCACATCATTTATTTAGCCGAAGACTTCCAGAGGTGTTTTTTTATTTGTTCTACATCACGTCTCTCACCCCGCTGTGAACCTCCCGGTCCGGGATCCGCTGCAGGATTATGTTGTGCGCCTCGCACTGCATTTTTTTTTTTACTCTTTTTACTCCTTTTTTCTCTTTTCCCGAGGCCCGCACGTGTTTGCTTTGGCCCGCTATCCGCTCATACAAACAACCGGGCCCCGTGCAGCCTTATCCATCACGCCTGTGCAGAATGTGACGATAAAATAACAGGCGGCTTGAAACAAACCATTTGTTACTGCAGAATTTATTATTCTGTCCACTTGAAACAAAGTACAGAGGTTACCTAGACATCTCCTACTTAGGTTACAACAATAAATAGAACAAAACGGAGTTGGCTGCACACGCCGGCCTGCTGGAAAGTCCCACATCCTGGTCCCCCGTTAAAAAAAAACCCGGGGATGTGACGTCACCGCCACGACTCCCGCCGGCACACCGATGCCGCGTCACGGCGTCCTCGCCTCCCGCAGGAGGAGGCGCCGGTTCTATTTCGCCGACCGGCGGCTTACGGGCGCGCATTAGTTACACGCAACAACGCCTCCGTGTCGTAAACACTTCAGCGGGCTCCAGCAGCGCGTTCATCATCGTGACACCCGCAGGTAATCCACACCGAGGGGGCCAGCAGCAGACGCACGGAGGCGACCCTACA